CTGAGGCGTATGGAATCTGGTCCATGTATCCACGTTCTAGCTCAGTTTTTGGTGACTGGTCTCTACTGAGCTTGAAATGATTCCCCAGAGGTGTACATACTGGTTTAGCATTATCCATACTAAACCTGCTAAGAACCTTCTTGACATACTCTGCCTATGAAAGCTTTAGTATGCCTTTGTCTTTGTCTCTGATGATTCTCATGCCAAGTATTTGTTTAGCAACTCCTAGATCCTTCATTTCAAACTGTTTTGACAACTGTTGCTTTAGCTTGTCAATCTCTTCCATGCTGGAACCTGCAATTAACATATCATCCACATATAGCAGTAGAATGATATATGAGTTGTCAAAATGTTTGACATAGCAACAATGATCAGCCTGACATTTTGTGTATCCCGTAATACACATGAAGTTATCAAACATCTTGTACCACTGTCTTGGAGCTTGCTTCAAACCATATAGGCTCTTCTTTAGTTTGCAAACTTGACTCTCCTTTCCTGGTATTGTAAACCCCTCTGGTTGTTGCATGTAAATGTCTTCCTCCAATTCTCCATGAAGAAATGCTGTTTTTACATCTAATTGTTCAAGATGTAAATTTTCTGCAGCTACTATCCCCATAACAACTCTGATCGTTGTAAGCTTCACAACTGGAGAAAATATCTCAGAATAGTCGATCCCTTTCTTTTGCTGAAACCCTTTTACAACAAGTCTTGCCTTGAACCGTTTGCTTCCGTCATGCTCAGTCTTTACTCTGTAGACCCACTTGTTTTGCAAGGCCTTCTTTCCTTCAGGCAGTTTGGTTAACTCCCAAGTCTTGTTCTTCAGCAATGACTCCATCTCGTCCTTCATGGCTAACTCCCACTTGCTCAAGTTTCCATCTTGTAAGGATTCTTCATAATTTAATGGTTCACCACCATCGGTCAGCAAGATATAATTCAGTAGAAGTGTGAACCGTTGTGGAGGCTTTATAGTCCTGGAAGACCTGCGAACAGCTGGTTCACTTGGCTCTGCACTATCTTGTGTAGAAGTGGTGGGTACTGAAGTGCTTGAACTGTCTTGTATGAACTCTTGAGTGGTAACATCAGGAAGCCCTTCTAATTGTATGAATTCAGATTTCTGTGGACTCGTATCTGAATCAGTTATCTCTAGTTCTGTACTTGATTTGTCTTTGTACAAAACTTTCTCGTTGAAGATCACGTTCCTACTTCTGATAATCTTCCTGTTTTGATCATCCCAGAACCGAAATCCAAATTCTTCATCTCCATAGCCAATAAAGAAACATTTCTTTGATTTGGCATCCAGCTTGTTGCGAGCATCAGAGTCTACATGCACATAGGAAACACACCCAAAGACTTTTAGGTGAGCAAGCTGTACTTCTTTTCCTCTCCAGACTTCCTCGGGCAGTCTGAACTCCAAAGGTACTGATGGTCCACGGTTGATCAAGTAAACTGCAGTATGAACTGCATCAGTCCAGAATGTTTGAGGTAGCCCAGAATGCAACCTCATGCTTCTAGCTCGTTCATTGATGGTCCGGTTCATCCGTTCAGCAATACCATTCTGTTGTGGTGTGCTTGGAACTGTCTTTTCCATTCTGATACCGTTGACAGCGCAATACTCCTTGAAACCTCCATCAATGTATTCTCCTCCATTATCAGATCGTAAGCATTTCAGCTTCAAACCTGATTCAGTCTCAACCATAGCCTTCCATTTCTTGAATGTGTCAAACACATCAGATTTATTTTTCAGAAAGTAGACCCATACCTTTCTGCTAAAGTCATCAATAAAAGTGACATAGTACCGAGAACCGCCAAGAGATGCTACTGGAGCTGGTCCCCATAAATCTGTGTGCACCAGTTCTAGTTTTCTTGGTCTTAAGGTCCTGCCAACCTTTAAGAAACTGAGCTTCTTCTGTTTTCCGAGAACACAGCTTTCACAAATGTCTAGATCAACATTTTTTAATTCTGGCAGCTTTCCCTTTGACTGAAGTATCTTCATCCCCTTTTGACTCATATGGCCGAGTCTACAATGCCATAGCTGCGCCTGATTATCTACTTCAGTAGAGGCAATTATATCTGCTGATCTTGTGGTCATATACAGAGTGCCAGTTTTCTTTCCACGAGCCAAAACCATTGCTCCCTTTGATACCTTCCACATTCCTCTAGAGAAAAGGATTGAATGGCCACTATCATCAAGTTGTCCGACCGAGATCAACTTCTTCTTTAGTTCAGGAACATGCCTTACATTTTGCAAGTTCCATGTAAATCCATTCATTGTCTTGATTTGCACATCTCCTATACCCACAATCTCCAATGGTTGTCCATCGGCCAGATAGACTACCCCATAATTTCCAGCAGTGTAATTTTGCATCATTTCATGGTGTGGAGTACAGTGAAATGAAGCTCCAGAATCAAGAACCCAATCATCAATAGGACTATGTACTGCAAGGATCAAAGCATCTTGTACCTCGTCTGTAGTGGCATTTTCATCAATAGGACTATGTACAGCAAGGATCAAAGCATCTTGTACCTCGTTTGTAGTGGCATTTGCAGAATCAGCTTCAGGTTTCTTTGGTTTTGTGCAACTCCTCATAAAATGGCCAGGTTTGCCACAATTCCAACATTCAACCTGCTTCCTGGGTCCAAACTTGCTTTTGCTTCTGTACCTGGATTTTGATCTGCCTCTGGATAAGCCTCTGTCTTGTCTCCTTCCTCGAGTATTGATATTGAAAGCTGAACCTGAACTTGAGCTTTCACCCGAGTCTTTTCTTCGTACTTCTTCAGCTAAAATCAGGTTTCGGATATCATCATACTTTAATTTAGATTTTCCAGCTGAGTTGCTTACGGCTGTTCTCATACCTTCCCAACTGCTTGGAAGTGAAGCTAGCAAAATAAGTGCTCGGATCTCATCATCAAACTCAATTTCAACGGATGACAATTGATTTGTGATGGTGTTGAAATTATTAAGATGTTGTGTAACAGAGGTGCTTTCTGTCATCTTTAGGTTGAACAGCTTCTTCATCAAGTGCACTTTGTTATTTGCTGATGGCTTCTCATACATCCCAGACAAGGCTTCCATCAATCTTGCTGTGGATTTCTCTTTTGTAACATTATGAGCAACTCTTCTTGACAATGATAGCCGGATAATGCCCAAGACTTGTCTATCAAGTATTTGCCAATCTTCTTCTGACATGTTTTCTGGCTTGCTCCCCAACAGAGGAAGATGAAGTTTCTTCCCATATAGATAATCTTCAATTTGCATTTTCCAATATCCAAAATCAGTTCCATCAAATTTTTCAATTCCTACAGCCTTTATTTCATCAGCCATTTTTACTCCTTCTCGGATTTGAATATCAAAAATCTGACCTTACAGATGTGTCCAGAATGGCCAAAAATGCTGGAAACGACACTGAGATCACCCAAATCGGACTTCGGATGGCTCCGATTTAAACAATCAAAAATTGGGATAACTGGACGCTGCAGATGAAGCCACGTGGCAGGAGGAATAGTCTCTGCGCCACACCGGATCAAAACCCAGTTATACTGACGTGGCAAGCTGACGTGTCAGACACGTAGGCAATGTGGGGTCCACCTAATCTGACGTGGCAGATCCGCGGAGATTTTTATGCTGACGTGTCAGACACGTAGGCAATGTGGGGTCCACCCCAATCTGACGTGGCAGATCCGAGGAGATTTTCTACTGACGTGGCAGTGATGACGTGTCCGATGACGTGGCGGGGTGACCGGTCAGACTGCTGATGTGGCAGGGTGCGCGACTGCTGACTGTGCCGGACTGACGTGGCAGTGTCAATTTGCAGGAAACGGCGAGGAAGACGCGTGAAGCGCGTACGGCGCGTCTGTGCGCGTGGACAGTACTGGTGGTGGCGCGTGCAGGCGCGTGCGGGCATGCAGGACGTCGGATTTTCGCCGGGTTTTCACCAGTGGATTCCTCTCGTCGTCCTCTTCACGGTGGTATGTTCAAAAACACGTTTGGAGAACTTTGATTTTTGAGTTTGGATCAAACACCCTCTTCTTCAAGAACTTTCAAGAACAAGCTCTGATACCAGTTGTTAGGAGATCCAAACATTCAAACACACACAAATTTACGTGGTTCGGCAACTTGCCTACTCCACGGAGCTACTGGTTTGTATTAATCAAGCTCAAAAGCAATACAAACAAAACAAGGAGGAGGAGAAAACTTCTCTACTCAACTCAACTCTCACCCTTAGCTCTCTCTCTGTGTTTCTCTCTATCTCGTGGTCTTTCTCAGCTATCAGTGCACCTTCTATTTGTAGCTGAGGAGGGAGATGATTGTATTTATATGATATCCATTATTTATAATTTAATAATATATATATATATATATGCGTGCGGGGTGAAAAATAAAATTTTATGTTTAAATACATTATTTTTACAAATAAAAAAAATGGTGTTTGTTTTATACACACACATAACAGCTTCGTCTCCAAAAACATGTAAAAAAATAATTAAATAAGTTGGTTCAATCAATATTCATCGTCTTCAAATTAAATTATCATTCAATAAACTCAAGCAACTTCTTACCATCTTCTAAGTAGAACCTGATATCATTTGTTAAACATTATTTATTTAAGAATTCAATTACAACCAGCAAGCAATTGCATGAAAGCTCTACAAATAAACATGTTAGAGATCATGTTCCCTGGATTGAATTCGTTGTTGAGTTTCTAATATCTTAATGCTTCCACGTGTATATCCCTCAAGTTTCTCCTGTTTAACAGACAACTCAATAATAACAGATAATCTCATTGAAATAATTATCAATGGAATTCTGGCAAGGGAAATTTCCGTCATACCACACGCTTGGATCTCCTTTTTCATACAATCTCCTCCTATATATAATAGCTAAAGCCTCTACTTAGTCTCCACAGCCTCTAAAAGACCAAGCATCGATCTAAAAACATTAATTCAATCCCTCAAAATGGCTCAACTTCTTCTTCTTTGCCTTGTTTTAGCAGATGCTTTTGTAGGGCTCGCAATGGCCAGTGAAAAGGTTCAAGCCATGGTTCAGTCTAGCCCTGCATCATCATCCGACCCGCAAGCTCCCACTCAGAATGTATACGATGCTCAAGCGCCCAGTATTAGGAAACTTGGAAAACACCATCTCCATAAAATGGTCCCGTCCTTCGTGGCCCCAATTCATAGCCCATCTATAGCTCCTCACCAAGCTGAAGAAAACGTTCATTCTATAAGAGAAACCAGTTCTTTGAACCAAATCAAGTCGTCCTCTGAGCCCATCAGCACTGAAGAGAGCGCTAGCATCCATGTGGAAGATATTCACCTTCCAAACCATCATCATTCAGTGGATAAGTCAATAGCTGGGGGCGGTGTGATTCTTGGGGGTCTTGCCGCCGTATTTTTAGTGGCTGTTTTCTGTTACATTAGAGCTACTGGCAGACATAAAGCAGGAGCCGCTTCTTGAGTTAAGTTATCTAGAGTTGTCTTGCAGGTATATGATAGGGGGAAAACATCTTCGGTTTCAACACTTTCAAGAAAATAAACACTAATATTCTGAAGGATATGGTTTATAACAGTGAAAATGAACATATTTTTGTTTTAAATATACTTCATTTGAATCTCGGGTTGGAGTAATGAAAGATCTCCATGTTACCAGTGCCAGGCATTGTGGTTGTTGCTTGAAGTTAAATGTTTGTGCAGACCCTCGAATATATATATATATATATATATATTTGACAAGTATATATGAACTTTTCACTTATTTGTCAGTATGTATACTTTAATTTTTTAATTTAAATTTATATAAATTTATTTGAGTATTGGCACTTTTTAATTTAAATTTATATAATTTATTTGAGTATTGGCACTTCTAGAAATTTATTTGAGTATGGGCACTTCTAGAAATTTATCGATTAACTTATTTTAATTTTGAATTCAAATAAATATCTAATCCAGTGTCCTATTTGACTCAAGAAACGAAACAGTGCAACCAATTAAATTAATTTCAACACATAACTTTAAATAAGTATTTTTTTTTCCAACTCTACATTGTTACATTGAACTAAATCTAGTTTTTATTAAACCAAATATGTTGCTAAAAACCAACAACATATCAAAAATATACTACTAAAAAATTAATAAATATAAATAAAAATATCAAGAGAATATTTCTATCGGTAAATTTTCGAGAAATTTTACCGATGAAAATATTCTCTCAATATATACCGAGAGAATTACAATAGAAAAAAAATAAAACAAAGCAAATAAAATAATGATTTACCAACAGAATTACCTTGGGTAAATTCATTGGTAAATTGTGAATACTATTCATTATGTTAATTACAAAGAGAATCACAAACGAAATTTTTCGTCGGTATTTTCTAAAGAGCTCCAAAACTATTTACTTTTCAATTGCACTGTTAATTATTGTTCTTTACAAAAAAAAAATCACCAACGAATTGAAAAGTTATCGGTGTTATTTGGTGGTTTTCTAAAAAATTCAATTAATTTAAAATTTTTATTTAAATATTACAAACGGAATCACCGACGGATTGAAAAATCATCGGAAAGTATTGGCAATTTCTGAAAACTTTTTACAAAATTAAAAATTTAAATTAAATATTACCAATAAAATTGATGGAATAATTAAAAAAATATTAATATTCAATTATCCGTTGGTAAATCGGTCACTAATGTGTCCCAATAAAAAGTCTGAATCCCTTTATTTTACAAGACATAGACTCATTTCTTCATCTTCTTCTTCTTTACTATATGTAAAGACATCAATTTCTATTTCTTTCTCTTCTTTTCTCTCCTCATCTTCTTTTCTTGTCCTCTATGCTCAGATATGTCTTCTTCTTCTTTCTTCTTTTATCCTTTTAGTTCTTTTTTTAATTAATATGCTTTATGAAATTTATTTTTCTTTCCTTAGCTTCACTTGCAACTATAATATTAAGGTAAGATTTTTCATTTTTCTTCTTTTTTCAAGATTTTTTTCACTATATTTGTTTTTTATTTTATTTTTAATTGTTTTTGTCTTTAATAATTGTATAAATGTTGTGAGAATTTTTTTTTCATATGAGATCAATTTTTAATTGATTAATTTATAGGATTTTTAAATTTTTAGCAATTGCAACTTCATTTTTTTCATATGAATTTTTTTTAGTTGAATTTATTTATTTGTTGCAAATTTATTTGAGTTTATTTTCTTATTCTTTTTTTCCAAGCATTTTGAGTATATATTACAGAGTATTGATTTATGTTAATTTAATTATTTTGTAATTTTATAAAATAAAGTTTTTAAAAATATTTTTATATAATTACCAACACACTTACTATTTTGTTGGTATATCCCTTGGTAAATCCGTTGGTAATAAAAAATATTATTACCGAGATGTCTGTTTCATCAGTAAATCTGTCGGTGATAATATTTTTTTAATTACTAACGGATTTATCAACGGATAAAAAATTACTGATGAAAGATTCACCAACAAATCATTTCCTTCAGTGATTTCATTGGTAAATCAATTACCGATGGAATATATGTCTTAAGAAATTCCATCAGTAAAACTATTAAATCTTGTAGTGATAATTATAATTTTAATAACTCTAATCATGCAATCAAAATAAAATCTAAATGACTAAACTAAACTTTCAAAATCATTGTTGATATCTAAACAATCAACCAACATGATAAATAATATCCGTAACAACTTCAAATATACATTCAAACCACCTTGAACTTGTTTATCAAAATCATGCATATCATTTTCAACAACTAAATCTGGTTTACCAAAACAATACACATTGCATTTAAGACTTTTAGATAATCATCACAAACAAAAACTAAACATTCAAATTCAACCATGATTAAAATAAAGATGTGTTAATTGAGCAACATCATCTCATCAAAGTTTAAGGTATATTTTCTTGAATTGATTATGCTTTTTTATTTGGAATTTCTAACCTTTTTTTAACTTTAGATCCTTGGTGTTATCAGCTCTTAAAATTTGATTTGTATCTTCTTCTTTCTTTTTCTTTCTATCCTCTTTTGAACAATACTTTTCTGGTATCTTTCTCTCAATTATTTCAGATACACATTCCTTTTATAAGTAAAAAATAAACTAGGAGGTTACAAAACCATGGTGGATTTTGTTTTAGAATCTAGATGGTTCATATCTCTCTCTTTTATAACATATTCTCGAAACTTATAGTGTTTTCTTTTCTTTTTAAGTGAATCCTAACTAGAGAAAGCATCTTCAAAAAGTAATTTTTATAGGTGTTTATCTTTTTAAGTGGGATATTCTATTGAAACCATCATGAAATTTAGGATATCAACATGCCATCAATAGACTTGTATCATGTAGAAGGGATGTATTTATATCATTGAAAATAAACCTCACTTGATTTTAAGCTCTATAAATCCATGTTCATTGATTGAAAGGTTGGTTCCTAATCAACTTAGTTCTGTCAATGCATAGGAAACTAAAAGGAACAAGATGTTTTTTATTTTATCAAGTCAAATGGAGTATAAATGTTTGATGTAAATGCTTGAAATTTGTAGATGAAGTGTTTCTTAGTCTTTTGGTGCCAATTATATCCCTCGAGGTTCCTGGAGTTGACATATTCATTCATTTGAAAATAACTTCTTAATAAGTCAGCTTTTCAAGAGAAAAAGAAAAATAGTGATCGAACAATGCATCACCTAGTTTCTTCATTGAATTTTGAATGAAATGTCACCTGTTGTTAAACCTTAAAAATTCAAGTTTGTAATAAGGGTTTTTAAATTTTTTATTTTACCGTTATATTTTTATTTTCAGTGTTTGTAACTTCAATTAACTTGAAAACTTCTTAATTTTTGTTTATGCATCCTTGAAAATATTAATCAAAATCCTTTAATTCACATGTCTTTTCCAACTTAGTCCTTGAGTTTTAGATTATGCAATTTAACTCTTATTTGACCATTAAACTTTTCATTTGTTTTGATTTGACCCTTGGTTTAATCAATTACAATCCCTAAATGTATGCGCCTGTTGGATCCCTAATGTTCTTCAATTGGATCCCTAACCAACCTTTAAACTTCAAATTTCTTTCAATTAAGCCCCAAATTGCAACAATTAGGCTTTTCAAAATTCAATTAGGTCCTTGATCTTTTAATAATTATAAATTGACCTGAATTAGGCATCCAAACTTGATTTTTCTTCAATTTAGTTGTTGATTAAATTAATTAAACCCATTAAAAAATTAATTAAGTCCGTAAACTTAATTAATTCTTTCAATTTTGGCCAAATTGATTTGAAAACTTAATTTTACTTTAATCAAATCATTGATCGTTCAATGAAACCCATTTAAAGTTTAATTAAGTCTTAGACTTAATTAATTATTTCTTTTGTTGGCCAGATTGACTTGCAAATTTAATTGATTTAAGTCAATTAAATTCATTAGAAGTTTAATTAAGTCATTGAACCTAGTTAATTCTTATATTTCTAGTTAAGTAGACTTTCAAACTTAATTTTATTTCAATAAAGTCTTTTTTCAGCCTATTAGGTGAATAGTAGTCCAATTAATTATCTTTTTGGTGTTTTGACTTGTTGTAGTGCAAAAACTCATCTATTTGTGTCCCAAAGATATATTTGAATTTTAAATTTATGATTTTTTGGATTATTTAAATATAAATAAAATAGAAATATATAAAAAAATTTTAAAGACCCAAAATTGGGTTATTACATTGAGTACAATAATTTTTTATTTTTTTCTAATCAAATGCTTCTCTTAAATTTTGTCATTTATTTGTTGATATTATCCTTAATTTGACACCTAACATGTTTAGATATATGATAGTATATGAACTTTTACTTTAGTTTTAATTGAGCATTTATATATTTAATTATTTTATATTTAAATGTATGCAATGTATTTAAATCTTGATACCTTTAAAATTTTATCAATTAAATGATTTTTTTAAAAAAGCCAACAAGTGTTTGCTCTTCATCGAGCCATATTTGCTTAAATAAAAATAAAATGTATGATTTTTATAAAAACTTGATATATATTATCACAAGAGACACCTTAGTGAACTTAGTTTTTTTTTAAAAAAAGAAAAAGAAAATTGTAAACATAAATTTGGAACATGAGCCTACCAATAAGGCTAAATCCTTATTTTTAAAATAAAGAAATTGGATCCTATAGGATGATGGTAAATAATAAATTGAGTTTTGAGCCTATTTTACTTGATTATGTCTAAAATGGATCTGAAGGCCTTCGCTCACACTTAATAAATCATGTTGACTTAGCCCTAGATCCACTTAATTGTAGGGAGGAACATATCATAAAACTTAAATATTCATAAAAAAAATGACCAAATAACATTTACAAAAAAATGGTAAGAAAAAAGATCATATATATATAAGAGCTTTGTTAAATAATAAATTTGTATTTGAGATATTATTATAAAAGTACTTAATTTTTTTGATCTCATGAAAATGGTAAGAATAAGGACTAAATCTTACAAATAAGAAGGTTGAAGGAGATTGAAATTGAAAAACATTCAATTTCATAAATTATTT